TGTACAGCAACTCCCCATTTCTTCCTCCCCAAGAGCCTGGCAACCACCATTTTAGTCTTTGCCTCAGTGAGTCTATTTTAGATAGCTTATGTAAGTTCAGTCACTCAGTATTCTGTCCTTCTGTGACCAGCTTATTCACTTAGCACAGTGTCCTCATGGTCAGCCTTACAAAGGAAGAAATCCTGCAATTTGTGACAATGGGAATGAACCCCAAGAGATTGGGGATTAAGACTAGAAAGAGGAAGGGGTCTACTTAGCACATTTGGGCTAGTAAACCACAGGAATACAGCAGAAACCAATTTACCAGAATATGGGAACAAATGTCCAAGGTCAGAAATGCAAAGCTGGAGGCATCACAATTCCGGACTTCAAGTTATATTTCAAAGCTATAATGATCAAGACAGTATGATACTGGGCACAAAAAGAGACACATAGATCAAAAGAACAGAGTAGAAAACCCAGAAATGAACCCACAACTATATGGTCGACTAATCTTTGACAAAGCAGGGAAGAATATCCAATGGAAAAGGACAGCTTCAACAAATGGTGTTGGGAAAACTGGACAGCCACATGCAGAAGAATGAAACTGGACCACTTTCTTACATCATACACAAAAATAAATTCAAAATGGATGACAGACCTAAATATGAGACAGGAAACCATTAAAATCCTAGAGGAGAACCGAGGCAGTAACCTCTTTGACATTGGCCACAACAACTTCTTACTAGCTACGTCACCTGAGGCAAGGGAAACAAAAGCAAAAATAAACTATTAGGACTTCATCAAAATAAAAGGCTTCTGCACAGTAAAGGAAACCATCAACTAAACTAAAAGGAAACCTATGGAATGGGAGAAGATATTTGCAAATGACATATCAGATAAAGGGTTGGTATCCAAAATATGTAAAGAACTTATAAAATGCAACACCCAAAAAACAATCCAGTTAAAAATGGGCAGAAGACATGAACAGATACTTTTCCAAAAAATACATACAGATGGCCAACAGACACATGAAAAAATGCTCAACATCACTCATGATCAGGGAAATACAAATCAAAACTATGATGAGATATCGCCTCACTCCAATCAGAATGGCCAGAGAGTGGTAGCCAATGGACTTCGGCTATGAGGGAGAGAGGGTAGAGGGGCTGAGCATTATGTGTGGCAAGATGGGCAGGCCCATACCTACTGGGGATATAGAAGAGCCTAGGCATTACATTGCCTGTGTTCAAATCTTGCTCCATTATATGCTAGATATACAATCTTAAGAAAACCACTTACCCTCTCTGAGCCTCATTTTCTTTTCTTTTTTTTTAAATTTAAATTTTTTTTTTTTAAGATTTTATTTATTTGACAGAGAGAGACATATCGAGAGAGGGAACACAAGCAAGGGGAGTGGGAGAGGGAGAAGCAGGCTTCCCGCCGAGCAGGGACCCCGATGAGGGGCTCGATCCCAGGACCCTGGGACCATGATCTGAGCTGAAGTCAGACACTTAATAACTGAGCCACCCAGGCACCCCTAATTTAAATTCTTCTTAATTAACATACTGTGTAATATTAGTTTCAGGGTACAATTTAGTGATTCAACACTTCCATACAACACGGGGAGCTCATCACGAATGCCCTCCTTAATCCCCATCACCTATTAAACCCACCTCCCCCACCTCCCTTCTGGTAACCATCAATTTGTTCTCTAAGGTCAGGAGTGTGTTTCTTGGTTTTGCTCTCTTTTCCCCCCGGCCATGTTCATTTGTTTTGTTTCTTCAATTCCACAGATAAGTGAAATCATATGGTATTTGTCTTTCTCTTACTGATTTATTTCGCTTAGCATAATACTCTCTAGCTCCATCCAATTGTTGCGAACAGCAAGATTTCAATCTTTTTGATGGCTGAGTAATATTCCATTGCGTGCATGTATTTGTCTGTGTGTGTGTATGTGTATACACACCTTCTTTATCCATTCATCACTTGATGGATATTTGGGATCTTTCCATAATTTGGCTATTGTAGATAATACTGCCATAAACATTGGGGTGCATGTATCCCTTTGAATTAGTATTTTTGTATCCTTTGGCTATATACTTAATGGTGCAATCGCTGCATCATATGGTAGCTCTATTTTTTTAACTTTTTGAGGAACCTCCACACTGTTTTCCAGAGTGACTGTGCCAGTTTGCATTCCCACAAACAGTGTAAGAGGGTTCTTTCTCTTCCTCCTCACCAACATCTGTTGTTTCCTGTTGTTAATTTAGCCATGCTTTTCTTTTTCAAGATTGCTTTGGCTATTTAGGGCCTTTTGTGGTTCCATATAAATTTTAAGATTGTTCTAGCTCTGTGAAAAATGCTGTTGGTATTTTGATAGGGATTGCATTCAATGTGTAAATTGCTTTGGGTAATATAGACATTTTAACATTTGTTCGTCCAATCCATGAGCATGGGATGTGTTTCCATTTTTTTTGTGTCATCTTCAATTTCTTTCATCAGTGTTTTATAGTTTTCAGAGTACAGATCTTTTACCTCTTTGGGTAGGTTAATTCCTACGTATCTTATGCTTTTTGGTGCAATTAATAATGGGATCGATTCTTTGATTTCTCTTTCTGCTGCCTCATTATTGGTATATAGAAATGCAACAAATTTCTGTACATTGATTTTTTATCCTCAACTTTACTGAATTCATGTATCAGTTCTAGCAATTTTTTGATGGAGTCTTTCAGGTTTTTTATATGGAGTATCAGTCATATGCAAATAGTAAAAGTTAGACTTCTTCCTTGCTGATTTGGATTTGGATACCTTTTATTTCTTTTTGTTGTCTGATTGCTGTGGCAGGGACTTCTGGTACTACGTTAAATAATAGTGGTGAGAGTGGACATCCCTGTCTTGTTCCTGACCACAGAGGAAAATATAAGCCTCATTTTCTTATCTGTAGAATTCAAGTAACAATAGCACCTATCTCTGAGAAGTCGTTGTGTAAGCTAAATGAGACTCTACACAAAGCTCTTACCAGAATGCCAGATTCACAGTGGGTGCCGAGTAAATGTTAGCAATTATTATCATTTTATCAGGAACTACTGTTTGATTTTGAAACCCAGAATCTCTCCAAACCTGATACTTTTTCTACCTTTCTGGTTTTAAAGATGTGCTAGAATGCTCACCCATGGCCTCTTTGCCCCAGTTCTACCACAAAGGATTCAGCGTCAACACTATTCCCCTCCTTATTCATGTTACCTCGACCATACTTCTGTTCAGATTCCAAAATCCCCAAAAAAGAAAACTCCTTAAACAAGGAGAACTGTATTTTTAATAACTTTTCAAAGGTATCTGATGCCCAGAGAGCATAAGAAATGACCAGGGCATGGATCTATGAGTGGAAATGGGGTGGAGTCACCAATCTTTTATTGAGTGATATGGAGCACCTGATAAAGATCACAGGGACACAACAGGGCACTCATCTAAATCATGTCATTCAAATCCTCACAAGAGTGCTTCATGAGAGCATTATTATCCCTATTTTATACATAATGAAACAGGATAAATGAGGGGAAATAACCTGCCTGTGGCCAACTGATAAATATCTGAGCTGGAATTCCAATGAGTTTAGATATAACTAATATGTATTGAGAGTATATCATGTGCCCCTGTTTTATGTTGAACCCATCACATGCATCATCTCCTCTCCCTCACCATGAACCTATGAAGTGGCTAAAACAACTTGCTTATGGTAAGCTTAGTAACAACTGTTGTGTATAGAATATAAGCATAGGACTGGACTCTAAGACATATGCTCAAATGTGCAAATTGACGCTAAGGCATTCTACTTCCAGCTCAATGTCCTTTCCCATCTCCCTCACTAGTAATGAGATTGTAGATGCCAGTTCCAATCTTTATATGTTATGCACTCCCTCCAAGAGAACCTGGACATTGAGGAGAAGGACTGGGGAACAGAACTGTGGCACCATCGTATCATCACAAGCCTTTATCCAAACTATGGCCGTCAAGGGGGAGAATGTTGTGCTGAGAACAGATCTAAGGAGCATCCCAGTGGCTGGACTCTGCTGCTCATACCACAGAGGCTCAGCAACACTGCTGAGCTGGTGAGCAGCAGACGATATACCCTTGAGTCTACATTGGAACTGTCAATGTTAAGAAAGAAGGGAAGATGAGAATTAATGTGGTATTGAGAAAACTATCACAAGCTTCTGAGCCAGATCGATTTGGTTCAGACCGTTACGCAAATACAGGATAATAATAATTATATTTGCTACCATGTATTAAATACTCTCAATGTGCCAGGCTAAGCACTTTGTGTATTTCAGATAATGAAAATCACTTGAACTTATCAGTCCTGAGTTTCTAATGCATAAAGTGGAGTTAATAACACCTTTGTTGTTATAAAGATTAGAGCTACTATGACCTAGTGCCTGGAATTTAGCAGGAGTTAAATAAATGTTTATATTAACAATCATTGAGCTAATATAGACAAGGGGCTCATTCTGTGTGGGACAGGACCTACACAAGAAAGAGATGTGGACTAGGATTAATCAACATCTGAGGGAAAGAAACAAGACTATGATGGAAGACTGAGCAGTACAGGTGCAGCATAAAAGTACAATATCAGAACATGTGGCATGGCAATGCGGCACAGGTGAAGCAGAGGTACATGGGTACGAGAGGGAGGCTGGAAGCAGGGCTTGTTGGAAGGACAGTGAGGTGGAAAATCTCAAGGCTGCAAGGCAAGTTCTATCTGAATTGTTTACCTCTAGAATATGGGACTCCTCAAAATGTTTAATTTTGTCCCAGTGATATGCTTTCTGTCCACAATGGATGGACTCTGCCAAGCATGCTGGTCTTCCAATGCTTCCACTGCTCCCCACATTCAGTTTTGTTCCTAAAGGACAGGTCACCCCTTGGACAACGGAGAAAAATTTTAAATGGTTTCACATCTTCAGGTTGAACCTCGGGTCCTAACTGAGTTCACTGCCTCTTCCAGCATCATCAGCATCATGCTATCACAGCCCAAGACCAAGGGAGACTTTGACTCCTTTACTCCAAATGGCGTTATCATCCTCAAAAGAGAAAAACCGAAACACAGCTACCAAAGAGAAGATAACCCACAGAACAGTCTGCAGAAAGAAGCTACAGTCCTTGGAGTAAGTTGATGTCATTGTAAGGGGAACACTGGGGAAAATGTGGTGAATGTCTTCAGACTACAGATCTACAGTGGATCTGGGAGAGTCTTTCATTTTTTTTTTTTCTGTCTGACTCCAGGCTAATTGGGACATGAAATGGAGCTTTATGGGAAGACTCTATCCAACTCAGGCCTCTCTGTAAACTAAAACCACTAGGTGTCTACTTGAAATCTGTACAAGAAAGTCTCTTGCAATCTGTCTTTAACATAGTAGATTTTGGGTTTAACCACATGGTTTTACTCAATAGGATTAAATTAGTCTGTTTTGAGCTCATTTCTTAACCATTTTGAGATGAGACAGTCTGGACTAACCTCACTGTACATTTTCTCCCTGTTTGCCTAACTATAACCATGTGTTCCCGGTCATCAACCTTCATATCCAGGACTTTAATTCCCACCTGGCTCTGAATATCCTCTTTTAAGACCTGACTCCTATTCATTTCCAACTTTGGAAACCTGCCTAGTTGGGGCCTCTGGAATTCAGGATCAGTTAACCACATAATCCTCTTCATTCCCCAATTTGTTTCTCAAAGGCTTCCTCATCTATTGTACAAACAGAAACCTAGCTCCCAATGGCACTGTTTCCCCTGTGACCCGCCATTTCTGGGTCTGGAAGTGAAGGCAGTCTCTTTGCTTCTCAAGGACACTTCAAGATCAATCTTCTCTCAATCTCTAAAAGCTCCTACTTTAGAATCTCATGTCATCCAAATAAGTAATTCACTCCCACTTTTTTTTAGAAGATTTTATTTATTTATTTGACAGAGAAAGAGAGCATGAGCAGGGCGGAGGAGGAGAGGGAGAAGCAGGCTCCCCCCTGAGCAGGTAGCCCCAATGTGGGGCTCAATCCCAGGACTCTGGGATCATGACCTGAACCGAAGGCAGACGTGTAACTGACTGAATCACCCAGGCGCCCCTCATTCCCACTTTCAAAAAAAAACAAACATAATAACTCTTTTTATGTATTATTTTAAAAAATCCTAATTGAGTCTTCTACCTCTAAAAAAGATATTTTTAAAAAGTCATCTATATTTTGAGCAAGGGAAAGAATAATTATCTCCAGCAATTTAAACAGTTATGAACTTCAAAACATTCTATTAGGTAATTCTAGTATTAGGAATAATAGAGAATTGATAGGAGAATTAAAATTTCAGAAGACTGAGTTTAGTTTAAAAACGTAAAAATAATCAGTGTTTTAGAAAATAAAATTAAATGATGTACTGGCAAATTTGAAAAGTGATCATCCTTAGAAAAATCGTTTGATGAACATGTTGCTTGAAAATAAAACCAATTAATGTTTGTCCTCCTGCTATCATTTACTGGTACTCACTCCTCAATTTACTTCTTCCAAACAACAGTTTCCTTGCAGGCTTACCCTGTTCCCTACAATCTAGCCTACATGGGCCTAGAATCACAAACACGTTTTCCTGTGTTTATTCATTCATACATTCAGCTGCCATTTTTGAGCGCCTAAAATGTCCCGGCCACTATTTTACACACTTAGGATAATAGGTGAAATATACAGTTAAAAGAAAAAAGAATCAGAGCCCCATTCGCAAAGTCCTCTTGCTATACAGGAGGACTCCAGGTCATTGCCACTTTTTTTACTCTCCTGGGTAATTTGCCTTTTCTTTTTGAGATACTGTCCTCAATCACTGTCACTCCTTCCAGGAAAGGTCTTATCATAAGCCTTGACCGTTTCAATCTTCGTGTTTATGATCCCTCCAGTATCACGTCCTCTCTGTTCCTTGACCTCTTCTCCACAGGTATCTTGCCCATCCTTCCTTAGACAAACATTCTGCGAGTCATACCCTGGGCCTTATCAATACTAAAAGCAATAAAGACACCATTACTTACATTTCAAGCATCCCATACTCCACCAACTCTGATCTTTCCAGATCACTCCCTCTGACTCTATGTTGACTCTTTCTTTAACCTCACTGAGACTTATTGATAATATTCCTATTTCACAGAGCCTTTCTCACCTAGCCAAGATCCCATAGTTCACTCTTGTGAACACCCTCAACAGCCTTGTGCTCCTCAACTTAAGGCATAATCTTTAGGAAAAACTGCAACAGTGGTTTAATTCTAGCTCTGCCCATTTGCTTATTCTACACCTGAACCCATGCAACTAACCTTGGCTGAAAACACACACATGGACTCCACTTTTGATTTGTGACCATAACCTCAAATGGACTGTAAAAGCTGTCTAAAAAGAACATGATCTTTCCTTCATCCATTCACTTTCCTACTACCCCAGAAAACTATTTCATACATTCTATCCCCTGAAACCTCTGAGGTTTCGTCCCTCTCTACTGATTACCTTGCTTCCTAAAATACTACAAAAATTGAGGCAATCTGGAGAGAATGTCCACAAGCTGCTACACATCTGAAATTATTCGTATCTGCGCCATATATTCTCTCTCCTCTCCCCATTACCAATATGATGTCCATCTTCTAAGTGATGATAACCCTCCCTTTGTGCAATAGATCCCATCCCTTATCACTTGTTCCAGTAATTCTTCCTATTCTCTCTGCAAATCTTTTTATCATTTCCATGAGCACAGAATCTTACTGTAATTTCTCCCATCTTGAGAACAAAAAAGCAGAAACAAATAACTATAACTTCACACCCTCTTCAGCTACTGCCCGCTGGTCACTTGCCTTCCCAGCAACACTCCTCTAAGGGATAGAGAAAGTCAATGTTTCCAGTTCCTCTGAAATGATATTCTCTCTTGAATCATACCCCAGGGCACTTGTCCCCATTGTTCCACATTAGTAACCTAATTTCCAAGTCTTAGTTATTAATGTTCTTGAACTAGTAGAAGTGTTTAATGCAGCCGACTACTCTCTCCTACTTGAAACATTTTACTCACTTGGCTTCTTGGACACCACATTCTTCTGGTTTTCCTCTTTCCCTCTTTGCTGCTCCTTTTATACTCCTTTACTATTTCTCTTTATTTCTTGGATCCTACATTTGGAGTATTTGATAGCTCAGTCCTTGATTCCATTTTGTTTCTGTATCTGTTGCAATGGTGATCCCATCCAGTAATATAGTTTTAAATATTATCTTCACTTATGACTTGGGGGAAAAAGACTATATCCCTTAGCTGGTTCTCTCCTCTAAACTTAAGACTCATATGTCTAACAGCCTATATACATTTCCACTTGGATATCTACTAGACATCTCTCCCCTAACCTGTCCCAGACTGAAATCCTCCTCTTTGTCCCCAAACCCACCCCTCATACAACATTCCCCAGCTCAGATCAATGTCAATTCCATCATTTCAGATGCTCAAGCCAAAACCCTTGGAGGCAACTTTCATTCCTATGTTTTATAATCCACAAACTCTCAGCAAATCCTACAGGTTTAATCTTCATCATGCATCTAGAATCCAACTACATCTTACTATCTCCGCTGTCTACATCTTACTATCTCCGCTCTCAACATCTTACTATCTCCGCTGTCTACATCTTACTATCTCTGCTGTCTACATCTTACTATCTCCGCTGTCTACATCTTACTATCTCCACTGTCTACATCTTACTATCTCCACTGTCTACATCTTACTATCTCCGCTCTCAGCATCTTCTTTCAAGTCAACATCATCTCACATGTGAATTACTGCAACGCCCTCCTTATTGATCTCCCTGCTCTGTTTCCTTATAATCTATTCTCAACACAGCAGGTAGAATGATCCTTTAAAAATATAAATTGGATCATGTAATCTCTTCATTCAAAATTATCCACTTCACTTCCTTTTTTACTCAGAATGAAAGGCAATGAAAGGTAAAATAGCCTACAAAGCCCTATATGGTTTGCACCCTGCCCCCAGTACTTCTCGGACCTCATTTCCTACTATTTTGCTCTGAACTCATTCTATACTTTCCAAGGAACATATCTGTAAAGTACATAATACATGGCCAGTGGCAGTGATTTTCATTTGCTTCATTTCCCTGGTGCTGGCCCACAATAGATATTTAATACATATTAATTATATGAATGGTGGAATTCTCTTAACTTCAGGTTATTTCTCCTATGTTTGCATCATCTTTCAATTGCATGTGCATTAAACAGTGGGTTAGAGTGTGGGTTCTAGATCAAAGTAACAGGGGTAAATCCTAGTTCTTCCACTCGGCCATTTGTGTGGGCTTGTACAAACTATTTTTATCTGGGTGCCTCATTTTTCTCATCCATAAAAAAGATGAGATGAATAATCAGAGTATAGAAAGTGTTCAACAAATATAGATTATTATTATTATCATTGGTGTCATGAAAATAGTAATTATTATTAAAATCCAATGATGCATAAGATGGATTATGCACTAGAGACTTTCCGCTCTATTTTATTTCAGACGAAATTGAGTCCTTTATTCATTCTTCTTTGATAAGTTTGCTTTCTACATTCATCTAACTGAACTAGTGTCCAGAAAAATTTTCTCCATTTGCTTTTCCTAGAACAAGAACAAATTATCAACTATCTTTTTCAAAATAAAGTTAAAATGTACATATGATCACTTCCTGACTTGCTATTTTAATAATCCTATCAGAAGAGAAGAGGTTAGTTATACATGACTTTCTTTCTCTTAGAGAATGCCTACTGGCTCCGTGTAACACCTTTTTTTCCTTTTTATTAATTTGTGTGTGAGAGAGAGAGATTGAGCACACATGAGCGGAGCAGGGGGAACAGAAAGAAAGGGAGAGAGAGAATCTTAAGCAGGCTTAACTGACTGAGCCACCCAGGTGCCCCTTTTTCTCCTTTTTAACATGGTCAATTATAGCATATTTTATACTCTTTATAAACACAACTTATATTCAAACAATCACTTTCATCTGTTCAAAGTGTGTTCCTAGAATTTTCCTTCTTGTCTCTTGTAGATTATCCAGATCCTGTGTTGCCTGTTGATTTCAAGTTTGGGCGCCATTTTGGTTTCTGCTCCCCACTCTTCCCACTTCAAGCCAACAATTTCCACCATTTTGATGTCTGGGTACCCATTTGTAGGAGCTCTATGTGTGAGTAGAGTGGGGTCTCCAAGAGAGGATATGCTTTCTAAATGCTAAGTAGGTGCTAAGTCACTCCATGACTCCCAAGAGGTAGGGATAGAGGAGAAGGCAGCCAAGGCCTCTGACTTTCCCTCTGTCATTGTCCCATGTCACGTTTCTCTAATTCAGGAAGAGCAGCAGAGGGGCTTAATCCCTCCTCCTGTGTCAGCATCCCAAGGAGTGGCTGGTTGGGGCAGGAGACAAGAGGGTAATACAGTGGGCATACCAGTACAGTATTTCTTACCTGGCTTCCCAGCCTATCTCTGGAAAAATGGAAAATGTTTCACATTCTTTTCTGGGCCTTTGATGAGGTCATTGGATTTCCTTCAGTTTAAGAATCATCCACCTGCCAGGTAAAGAGTGAAAAGATCATTTTTAAAATAGAATGAGCACCACTGGTAGATGCCGCAGGTTGAGAGAATTAAACTGGTAATGAAATTCGTGGGAGGCAAGGACACTTGTTATGTGTTCAGAAGTAATCCTGAGAATTTGGAAAACTTTTTGCTGGCTTCCATCTAATTACTCATCGAGAAGGGCCTAGTCAATCCTTTTCTTTGGAGATAGCCAGGGCCTAGTCATGCCTCCCACAAAGGGCCACTTATTTTCCATGTAGTATCTTGTACAAAGGGGAAAAAAAAAAAAAAAAGCACACATTCTGGGCAGCTGATTTCTATGAAGGCACCACCACTGTATGGATAGAGCCTTTGTGTAAACACAAACTATGGAGCCCTTCTCTTGTCCCCAGAGCATAATTTGCCCGTATAACTCTATCTGATCAGTAGTTGTGGCTCCCACATTCCCTTATGAAAGGTATAAATAGGTCATGCTGGACCCTCTTTGTCTGTGACTACCAATTCCTAAAAGCCACAAGCTTACCCAGTGTTTCAGCCTTTCAGAATATTCTCCCTCCACCAGCTGGATCCTGACCACCACTGGGCTCAAACACTGGCTTCTGGGGCTTCAGTCTGAAAGACTCTTTGCATCTATCCTGGCACTTCCCACCTCCCTCAGCTCCCAGTCTAACTCAGTCCCCCTACACCAATACTTGAAGCCCACATGTTTCTGTACCTTGTGCCATCAGAGCCCCTTTCCTAAGTGTTTCTGTTGGCTGCTCCGACCTTCCTATCCCTTCAAGTCATTGGTCTTTCTCAACCTCCTCTCTTCCCACCTTGTAATTCAGCACTACTCTCTTCCCTCCGTGTACACCTTCTCTCCGGGCCACCTCAGCTCACAGGGATTTTTGCTAACAGAAACCCAGATCCTATGGGCATCTGCCTATTTTTCAAAGTCAATGTAAGCATCCTGAGAGTGGAAATCAGAACTTTATCAATATGGATCCACACCATTCCTACAGTGTTATCTCCCTAAAAGTTTTACATTACTTATTGATTGATTAATAGTAACATGGTGGCCTCATTTCCACAAGACAACTGAACTGATTATTTCTCTCTTTTCTGAGCAGTTTGCCATTACTGGATTCCTCTCTATTATTTCTGGGAAAAAGTCAAATAAGCCCTTTGTAAGTATGAGAACCGTCAAATCTCAGCTCATTGGAATAAAGGGAACTTGAGGATTAATTACTCTAGTTTAAAGTTTCCATTCACAACTTAGGAAAATAGGGCTCTGAGCAGGGAGAGAACCCAAGTTCTTACTGCTGGTCCACTGGTGAACTGGGTGTAAACCCCAAATTCCCTGCCTTCTAGACCAGTGTTCTTCCCCTACACAGTGTAGGCCCGGATCATATTCCCAGCCTGGAGATTTACCTCACTTGCTTAAACAGTAGAAATTTTTAAATATACCATGGAGTCTTTAAAGTTTATTATCTTGGCCCTGAATAGGGTAGATGACCATCCCAGCTAGATCCTAGAGATCCTTTTTCTGGAAAAACCGGTCTCATAATGAGTCAATTTCCCTAAATGGCAAGATCAGAGGCACAGGTGTGTGGGCTTAGATCCTGTGGTTAGCTCCTCCACCCCCTCAGAAACAAGGAATTATCAGACTGTAGCCACTTTCCTGACAAAAGTCAGGAATGTGTGGGTGGGGTCTTTGATGTTCTCCATAGCAATTTTTCCCTTTTTTCCCCTGCCACACACTCACAAAGATGACTTAGGGAAAAGCCACATCCTGACTCAGGAAGATCCAGGGTGTAGTTAGCTATGGATGAAGGCACCTAAGATGCTGTATGAGGCTGGTATATGTTCCTGATACTTGAAGCTAGAATCTAAACCCCAGAACTAGTGGACAGAATTTTGAAATGTTCACCCCATTGGACGGAGTCAGAGTTCTGGACTTGGAACCAGGAAACCTATACTCTCGTCCCAGCTCTGTCACTGACCCATCTGTATGCTCAAAAAAGTTCCTTCCTTCTCTGGGCTTCACTTTCCTCATTTAAAAAATGTGGAAGATGAACATGTGAATTTCACAGGTGGCTTCCCAAGTGTCCTGAACACCCTAAAAGGGAAAACAATACTCGGGATGACCCGGTATGATATGGGCTCCACATATAGGACGCAAGACAATATGTGGGCTCCATTGCCCATGTGGCAGCTCTGGGCAAACGCACTGCCCATTTCGTCTGCTCTTCCTTTGGTAACTCAGCACTTGAAGCCACACAGCTACCAGGTCCAGGGAGTAGGGGGCAGAGCAACCATCCTCCCAACCCACAGTACCCTACAATGATGTTTGAATAGAAAAGAGCATATGCTGGGAACCTGGCACAGAATCCAGCACATCAGTGTATTTGCAGAGGAACCAGATTCTGTGAGAACCCTTTACCCTGAAATGTAGAATATGACCCAGGAGAGAGTGTGGTGCATGTGGTTCTCAGGCTTCATCCACGTATAGGTAGGTATTCCAGCTTCTCCAGTTTTCTCTTTTATGGAAAGAAAAGCCATAGGTTGGTCTAGGAGGGACCAAAGGCCATATTCTAGAAGATCTTAAAGCAAAAGAATGATTCTAAGGCTGTTGAGGAAGTCAAGGAATATACTGGTAGTGGTTTGAGCAGTGTCACCTCTGTCTGCAGAGAGCCAAGGGGCCAGAACCCCTGTCCTGAAGGAGGAATTATTCATGCATTCTTGCACTCAACAAACATTTGCTAACTATATCAGGTGATAAACAGATAGTGAAGAGGGATACACAGAACACAATCTGTGCCCCCAGGAGTACGCAGCTTAGAGGGGAAACAGATTCAGGGAAGCATCACTGTAGTGCCGTGGATGGAGAAATAACTGTATCACATGCTGCTTCTGCCATGAAATCCCAATGCAGAATTTCTTTTTCAGGCCATGAGCAGCCTGACCTCAAGTGCAATAAGTTTTCTCACTGCTGGATCAGGCCTCTTCCTCCTTGCTGATGGCCTGGCATCCCTGGAGACTGCCTCTCGACGGTGCGACTCAGAAAGGGAATATCTATCCACACTGCCTTATTCGATGTACTATTATTCGATATATGAATTCAAGGACTGTCTCCTGGCTAGTGTCAGTCTAACAGTAAGTAGCCTCAGACTCAATATCCTGTCATGTGAAATCTCAGCTTCTCTTCTTTGCATAATTTCTGCTTTTTCAGCAGTCTGTATCTTGGTGATCTGAATGCCTGGAAGTAGACAGAAAAAAAAAAATGTGGTTGAAAGAGTCCCGTCAGCAGACTGCAAAATATAAGTTTGACTTTGACATTGTGCGAAGTCAAAATAGGAAATCAAGAAGGGCTATGGGTTCAAGATATGGCTCTTCTGGCAAGAGAAATAAGCAAAAATAAACTATTGAGACTACACCCAAAATAAAAAAGCTTCTGCACAGCAAAGGAAAACATTAACAAAAAGAAAAGGCAACCTACTAAATGGGAGAAGATATTTGCAAATGACATATTCTATAAGGGGTTAATATCCAAAATATATAGAAACTCACACAACTCAACACTGGAAAAACAAATAATCCAATTTAAAAAATGGGCAGAAGACATAAATAGATATTTTCCCAAAGAAGAAATACAGATGGCCAACAAACACATGAAAAGACGTTCAACATCACTAATCACCAGGGAAATGCAATTCAAAACCACAATGAGATACCAACTCACATGTATCAGAAAGGCTAGTATCAAAAAGACAAGAAACAAGTGTTGGTCAGGATGTGGAGAAAAGGGAACAACATGCACTGTTGGTGGAAATGTGAATTGGTGCAGCCACTCTGAAAAACAGGATGAAGGTTCCTCAAAAAATTAAAAATAGAAATACCTACAATCCAGTAATTCCACTACTGGGTATTGACTCAAAGAAAACAAAAACTCTAGTTTGAAAAGATATATGGACCCTTGTGTTTACTGCAGCATTATTTACAATAGCCAAGATATGGAAGCAATCTAAGAGTCCATCCACAGACGAATGGATAAAGAAGAGGTGGTCATAGGTTTAGCTCTCAGGGTGCCCCCTTTGTTGAGCAGGCATTTTTTCCCCTTGACACAGGCAGAAATATCCCTCTTTATTTGAATTTTATTTGATTTGGGATTAATGTAGCCACATTAAATTAGCTGTAGAACTTGGACTTTAAGCCCAAAGACATAATTTTTATACTTTGGCCCAGCAGGGCTGGCAGAGGGAGAAGGGGATGGGGGATGACCCACCCATGGATTCCATTCCTTGCAGAAATGCCAACATCTCTGGGCAGCATTTTCTTGCCAAAATTCTTCCCGAGCTGGATGGTCATCACCTGTTGATGGTAAAAATCCTGGCTTAGTCAATCCTCTATATACAGGCCCATAGTTTTAAAACCATAAACTTTGGCCTTTTAAGGAGAAAAATTTCTTCCTTTGTGACTCCTCTAGCAGGAGCCAGGGAGACAAATGTAATATCTCCTATTCCCTTGGATCTGTCTCACGAATCCCAGAAAATGTGTGCAAGTTTCTGCCCATTCAACCCAGAGGTTGTCAAAAGCAACCCCTTTGATCCTGGAGCTTGAGGAAGTGAAAAGGCACAGAAATGCATCTGGTTAGAAATCAGTGCAAGGAAGTCCAGGAGACAGCATAACCCTGGTGCAGGCAGACATCAGGCAAAGCCGTGAGGGTGAGGGAGACATCCTTCCTGCCCAGACTTTGACGGTTTAACTCAATGAAAACTACTCTCAATACATCAAACTGTTTCCTACTCCCAGACAACCAGAGAACATCCTGCAAAATCAGAGAAGTTGCACCAGGACTGACCCCAAACACCCACTCTTTATTAACACAAACATAACCTGAGCAAAGTAATGCATCAAAACATTTGAAATATATATCTGAGGTTGGAAGAAGAAAGGAAGGGAGGGTGGAAAGAAGGAAAAAATCAAGGAAGAAAGGTATCTTATATTCCAGGAGCTAAGAAGGATCCTACAGCCAGGTAACCAAACAAGAGCTGGGACCAGAAAACAGAGAGGTCTGGGCGGGAACACAGGTGCTACCAGCTGGGATAATGGTATTTTATTGCCCATGACAAATCTGAAGTTCTTCAGGCCCACACTGAGTGACCTGCAAAAACGTTAGAAGCAGAGACTGAATATTTACCCTATGTAGAAAACAGAACAAGGAAAACTCTGCCCAACATCCCACGAAGCTTTAAAAACTCTGCCATAAAGTTTTCTAGGATGAATTCATCTCACCAAGCCATGGGCAGGAATGGGCGGTATCCAAATCCAAGATTACATATAAAATAAAGGAACCTCAAATACAAGGATTAACTTAAAAACTTCCTGGGTCGTGGAACTCCTGAGCTTCCAGCAGAATCAAATCTATAACTTCCACTAGGGAGGCATCCATAAACCCAACCGATGGGTCTCCTATATATTAAAAAATTTCCCCCATCCACCTATATACTGACATCATCTAAGAGTAAAATGTTCTTAAAAACATGAGAAAAAACGGGGAACAGCCCAAAATGGAACAAATATTAAAGTTAGTTGCTCAAGAATTAGAGGTTATATACTAATTTGGAAGACTATAATGAAAATATATTTTAAATGATTAAAGGCATAAAAAAGGAATAAAAACCAAAATGAAAGAACATGACAGTATGAAAAAAACAAGTAGATTTGAAAAAAAAAACTAAACAGTATGATTAGAAGTGCAAATTATACTCTTTGAAATTAAAAATTTAGCATATCAGTTAAACAGTAGATTCAACATGTACAAAGAAATAAATAGTGAGGGGAGGGGGAAAATATGGCGAAGGAGTAGGGGACCGTATTCCAAACGGTCCCCAGAATTGAGCTGGATATCTACCAGACCACTCTGAACACCCCCGAAATCAGCCTGAGATGTAAGAAGATAGATCTGGACCTCTACAAACAGAATATCACAGGCAGTTGGTTTTGAGGTTCAAAGCAGGAAGACGTGATTCCACGGGCTGATATCAGAGGATAAACGGCAATGGGAGGGAGCCTGGCTGTGGGGATCCTGCACCACCAGTGAGCAATAGCCTCCCGTGCTGGTGACCGGGCACAGACTCGCAGATTGGTAGTGGCGAGGAAAGGACATTAGGGCAGCCCCTCTGACGGAAACCGGATTGGCAGGGCCATGGGTGCGAACTGGGGGCGGCTGGTGGTTTTAGAAACACAAAGGGCAGAGACATGCCCCGACCTGGAGGTGAGGACTGGGAGCCCTGCTGAGGGGCACACAACCCAGGACACTGCAGTTTATAGCAGCACAGACAGAAATGGAGATAGTGTGGCCTGGAGAACTCACTGAAGAACAGACTGCGATCTCTCTGCTCTGAGGCAGAGGGTTGGCAACAGTCTCTTCTGCTCTGACTCTCAGAATAGATGTGGAAAGCCACCAGGGAAAGCTGCCGGAGAACAAAAGCCCCCCAAAACCAGTTTTCACTGAGCCCATCCCCCACCACAGGGGGCAGGGCAACTTTGCCCAAACAGGGTTGCCTGAGTAACAGCACAGCAGGCCTCTCCCCCAGAAGACAGGCTGGGAAAACAAGAGGCCAGCAACCTTAAGGTCCTTAGAAAACAGGTGCATCTTGCTTGGGTTGTGGTCAATAATTTGGACTCTATACATTCCCTCAACCACCCCTCAACAGAATGACTAGGAGGAGGAACCCCCAAAATAGGAAAGACTCAGAGATTATGACTTATGTCATAGATTTACAAATGGATTCAGATAGGGTGCCTGGGTGGCTCAGTTGGTTAAGCGACTGCCTTCGGCTCAGGTCATGATCCTGGAGTCCCAGGATCGAGTCCCGCATCAGGCTCCCTGCTCAGCGGGGAGTCTGCTTCTCCCTCTGACCCTCTTCCCTCTCGTGCTTTCTATCTCTCATTCTCTCTCTCTCTCAAATAAATAAATAAAATCTTTAAAAAAAAAAAAAAAACAAATGGATTCAGATATAACCAAGATGTTGGAGATGGAATTCAGGTTAGCAACTGTGAAGACAACAGCTAGAATGGAGAAATCAATTAATGGCAACATAGAGTCTCTAAGGGCAGAAATGAAAGCTGAATTGGCAGAACTTAAAAATGCTATCAATGAGATCCAATCTAATCTAGATAATCTAACAGCTAGGGTAAGCGAGGCAGAAGAACGAATTAGTGACCTGGAAGACCATTTAATAGATAAAAAGGGAAAAGAGGAGGTCAGGGAAAAACAATTCAGAATCCATGAAAATAGAATGAGAGAAATAAATGACACCATGAAACGTTCCAATGTCAAAATTACTGGAATCCCTGAGGGGGTGGAGAGAGAGAGAGGACTAGAAGATATACTTGAGCAAATTGTAGCTGAGAACTTCCCTAATCTGGGGAATGAAACAAACATTCATGTCCTAGAGGCAGAGAGGACCCCTTTCAAGATCAAGGAAAACAGGCCAACACCCCGGCATGTAATAGTAAAACTCGCAAATCTTAGAACCAAGGAAACCATCCTAAGGGCAGTTAGGGGGAAGAGATTCCTTAGTACAGAGGAAGGAACATCAGAATAACGTCAGACCTATCCACAGAGACCTGGTAAGCCAGAAAGTCCTGGCAAGACATATTCAGGGTACTAAACGAGAAGAACATGCAGCCAAGAATACTTTATCCGGCAAGGCTGTCATTTAGAATGGATGGAGAGATGCAGAGCTCCCAAGACGGGCAGAAACTGAGAGAATATGTGACCGCTAAGCCGGCCCTGCAAGAAATATTAAGGGGGGTTCTATAAAAGGAGAAAGACTCCAGGAGTGATATAGAAAAGAAATTTACAGGGACAATCAATAAAAACAAGGTCTTCACAGGCAACATGATGACAATAAATTCGTATCTTTCAATAATCACTCTCAACGTAAATGGCCTAAATGCTCCCATAAAACGGCACAGGGTTGCAGATTGGATAAAAAGACAGAACTCATCCATATGCTGTCTACAAGAGACTCATTTTGAACCTAAAGATACATCCAGACTAAAAGTGAAGGGATGGAGATCCATCTTCCATGCCAGCAGACCTCAAACGAAACTGGGGTAGCAATTCTTATATCAGACAAATTAGATTTTAAACTAAAGACTGTAGTTAGAGACACAGAAGGACACTGTATCATTCTTAAAGGGTCTATCCAACAAGAAGATCTAACAATTGTAAATATCTACGCCCCCAACATGGGAGCAGCCATCTACATAAGCCAACTGTCAACCAAAATAAAGAGTCATATTGATAACAATACGTTAATTGTAGGAGACCTCAATACTCCACTT